GCTCACGGTGTGAAGCGTGGTATTTGTAACTTAATGGTAGAGCACTGGCTTCCGGTTAAGGCCTTCCCTACTCTTTGGGTTCAAATACCGCGAGTTTTTTCACAATTGGGTCAACCAGAGTTCTTGTCAATGTGCGAGAACTGCATGCGGAAGCTGATATATTTAGTTGGGTTCTGTTCTTTTCTAGGTCGTCTTCAAGGCACCCAAGTAACCGAGTAGGAGACCGCAAAGCTGCAGGAGATGACCCAGCTTTGCAGCCATAAAGACGAAAAGACCGTCAAGCTAAACGCGAACTAAGCAACGAAATAGTCCAGTCCAAGCAAGTGAAACCCAAAAAAGTAGAATTGCTCCAATCATAACAGCTGGCAGGACATAGGACGTGGAACAAAGGCTGCTCGGGGGCTGCACACTTGCAAGTTACCCAGTTCTGCTCATTTTTAGACTAAGCGTATGCTTTGTATTATAAACAGTTGTCTGGTACTTATGCGTCCCTGGGGGAACAACGTGTGCAGTTTAGTGAACAGACTGCAAAACTTGTGTTTACTGGGCCTGGAAACTACCTTCCAGTTTACTCTGAGGTGCGGTTTCGAGTTTTTCTGCCCTAGACGTGCTAACCGTTTACCTGGTCATCAGTTCTTTGGGCCACCTAACCCCTGAATATGTACTGCATGAAAACTTTTAATCTAGCTGCTGTAGCTATTATTTTGCTGTTTGGTAGGGATAGTTACCATTGTGTCAACACAAGTCAGCGAAATGTTTAAGACGTTTGCCTGAAACTTACAAACTGTGAAGCTGCCGGTAGTTAGTAGGTGGTAGGAACAACAGCGTACCCTCAGTTGCGCAAATCAGGGAATGAGTTTTCCTGGTAGATCACACAAAATGAAGCTGTGAATGGATATGCTGATTCATGCGTCATTAAAGTAGTTGCCGAAAATCATGCAAAATGCCGACATATGCGAAAAATTGATACTCTTTCGCTAATCGGCATTGACTCAGGTTGTGATATTAATTATCTTGTAGTCTATTCTGAAGTCATTTCAGTCATGATAGCATGCGGGCTTTTTAAAGAGCTTCGTTCTGACCACCAGGAAAACGTATCTATTGTAAAAACTGGCTACTTAAGTAATATGCCTTTTTAGCATTTATTTTGACTGCCCCTACAAATTCGAATATATTTTATGAAAAAAATGCACAAAAAATTATTTAATGTACTTGTTTGATAGCGAATTACGCGTTCTTTAAATGTTATACTCAAAGAAAGCGTATTTTTCGGTTTTCAAAAAGTTGCTAATCATGAGCATTTTTACAATTGTGAGGTGTGTATTCATAATACATCGTATCCGTCAATTTATTAATACTGCCTATACAGCATAAAAAATGTTTCACATCTATTGCAATATTTTATGAGAACGATGTGAATTCTTCCTCATACTGTAGGCGAAAACGTACTTTTCCCTAAACAGGATGTACAGAGTGCGCAGTTTTTGAACCTTTAATTCAAGTGTAGCAGTCAGTAGGTTAGAAAATTATTCGAAGTTCGAAGGTCCTATGACACGGCTGCTCCCACAGCCGCCTTGCTTAAACTCATATAAAGGCCAATTTTTCGTTCGAACATCAATACTTCAAACAACTAATGTGCTCACCTATGTATACCTGTCTTGCCGAGCTGACAGTGCAGAAGATGGAATTTAAAGCTCGGCCGTTAGTTAACCCTATGTTCTGGATATGGTATGTAGAAGACACATTTGTTGTCGTTAAAACTAGACCAACTCGAAGAGCTCCACACGATGATCAACTTAACCATTCTGGAAACTTAATTCACGCTCGAGAAAGCAGTTGACAATAAACCCCCATTCCTGGATGTTCTCGTACAACGAAAGACTGAGGGAATATTACCCACATCCGTTTACCACAAAGAAGCATAAGAAGCGGACGTAATTCTACTCTAGGAGAACAACAACCTAATCTCTCACCTGAAGAATACCGTCAACGGCCTGCTACATCAAGCAAAAGCATATTGACCAGACGAAGAAAGCTGGTGAAACGAGCTAAATCACCTGGCCCAATTGTTTTTCCAAAAATGGTTACCCTGGAGGTTTTTTACACCGGTGCATGAAACAATAAGAGCCCAGAAGGACGTTACCGACCAACGCAAGGGAGACTGGGACGGTCATTTCTGACTTATTAGCAGTTATCAGCCAGCCGGACCCAGCCTCGGGAGTTGCAACATCCGAGACGTTTACTGAACAGATTACGGAACTAGTATGTGCCCTTAGGCTCAATTCAACCTCGTCGCAGGCAGTCGCATAAGGGTCGGTTTTTAAAATGTGTTCGGGGATTGCGTTCTTTCCTTTTAGCACCTAGGCATTGAACACAAAATTGCGACTCCATGATCACCTAAGAATTCTCAAGCAATTAAGTCAGGGAGCTCTGCGAATAGTCAATAAGATGTTAGGATATTATTAAAAGAAAAGAAAGTAAGTCAACTGGGTGGTCGGTTTTCACATTTCGGCATTATCTGCCTAGTAACTGCAGACGAAATTCTTACACGTTACCTCTATCGGCATTAGGAAATAAGGATAGACCGAGCTCTCATTT